ACATAGGTGAATAAAATTAATCTTTTTGCTGCTGAACCACCTGGACACCTGCAAGGATTAACCATGCTAAAGAACAGCCACAGCCAAGAGAATGTTTGTATCACCTGAGAGAATCTTCAACATCGTGTTCCAGTGATGCAGTAGTTCATCTACAAATGGAGCAGTGAAAGATAGGGTGGAGTATGGGATGCAAAAGGGGAGTGTGCTTGAACAATAATTGGAGCCAAGAACTATAGCTCAAGCAACCACACCAATTAAACCTTGTTGTTGTTTAGTCATTTAGTCGTGTCCGACTCTTCCTGACCCCATGGACCAGAGCACGCCAGGCCCTCCTGTCTTCCACTGCCTCCCGGAGTTGGGTCAAATTCATGTTGGTAACTTCGATGACACTGTCCAACCATCTCATCCTCTGTCGTCTCCTTCTCCTCTTGCCCTTACACTTTCCCAACATCAGGGTCTTTTCCAGGGAGTCTCCCCCCTCAATGAGAAATTAAACATCGGTCAAGATTAAAAACAATTTTGAAAACATTAAAAAAACATTTTAAAATATCTCAATTCCCAAAACAGAATGTTCCCTAGACACTTATTCCTGCTGAAAAGGAAAGTCTTTGCCTGACAATGGAAAGATAAGAGGGAGAGGGCCAAGCTGGCTTCTCAGGGCAGTGCATTCCAAAGCTAGGAGCAGCTGCTGAGAAGGACTTCAGTATGGCAGTTGTATTGCAGAGGGCTGAAAATCAAGTCCTATTCAGGCATTTTGAAAAGGGTTCATCTGAAAGCTGGAGACGGGAGAGAGTTCTGGCCCTGCCCCATGCCTATCACCATCTCCAACTGAAGAAGGACAATCTGTGAATGAAGTCTGCTAGATATGGTGCCTCCCATAGAACTGGGAAACTCTGATTTGTCAGGATCTCCAGTGGTATAGAAAGACTCCAAAAACAGCAGAACGTTTCCACTTGAGAGGGTTCCCTCTTCCCATGGAAACAATAACAAGCAAGGGGAGGGGCCAGAACTCTTTTCCTGTCAACACTTTCAAATTAACCCCCTTTTGAATGTTCCAGTATAGCTCCAATGGCTTCCCATTCTTACCACATATAGCAGTAAGTTGCAACTAGAGGAGGCCCATTGAATTAGTGGAGACTTGGTGAGTCAACATGTATATAAATTCCATTGATTCAATGGTCCTACTCCAGTTGTGCCTTACTACTGGATTTCAGCCATTGCTCACTGCATAAGAAAAAGCAGAGAAAGGACATTCATCCACAACTACAACTTTTGACTGTGAAAGGGTGTCAATGAGTTAGGAAAAACCTTGAGGGTCTGCCCTGCCATAGTGCATTTCCCCCTCACCTCTGTTCTCTTTACAAGGACATGAAGAGATTTTATAAAGAAATGTAATGCAAGGCAAAATGTGCCACCACATAGAGCGCAATTTGACAGTATTCAATATATTTATTTATTTATTTAATTTATATCAGATTTTATAAAGAAATGTAATGCAAAGCAAAATGTGCCACCACATACACCGCAATTTGACAGCATTCAATATATTGTGCTTCACTCCTTTCTCTCTCTCTCAAGGATGCATTCATTTCTAAGCAGTTTATATTTTTAATGAAGTCCTTTACATTCTCTTCCTTAATCTGGAGATGCAGAGGGCAATTAACTGTCAAAAGTGAAAAAGATCAAGCTGACTGTCAAAATAAAACAGCTTTGCACTGAAATAGGTTTTTTTTCAATCTAATTCTTGAAACAAGAGCATCATTTTCACAACCAGTCAAGCAGAAACAGCCTCCGTTCAATGACATTTCCTGCAAATGATCAGGTGAACACTTCATTTTACATTTGTTTCTCTTTTTATGTCAATAATTATTTTCCAGATACATGGCTCCTAGGCCAGCTCCAACAGTAGCTACCTCCATTATGTGATGTGTTTCTGGAAGTGTGCTGCTAAACAAATGACATGTTCTTGAATCTTGAGCAAGATAGTGTGCTTTATAATTGGGCAAGCATAAATGAGTGAGAATTACATATTCCCTGCCCAACAAGACACTCTTGATTCTGCTTAGGGAAATGAAACTGTTTCTTAAGGAAGAGATATAATTCAACCTATCTGTGAGCCACAACTTTGCTGGATGAAAAAAAAAATACCTGAGCAACCAAAATAAATACAAAAATAAAAACATTTAAAAAATAGATGAATGTTTGCTGAATGTTGTCTCCCTTTAACATGAAGGCAAAAAACAGCAACTCCCGTGGAGTAGGAATGATTCCTTGTCCAACTTTCGTGCAAAATAGTCACCTCTTAAAATCTTCACTAGGACCAATATTCTTCATAGAAATGGTTTCTTCTTCCCAGAACAGTGACATGTGTAGCATAGCCAATTAGGAATCATATGTGCTCTGAATAATACCAGAATTAGATTTCGTTAGATTAGGGAATCTTGGGCCTTTCAGATAAATTGGACATCGGCTCCCTGAAGACCTTGCCATCATGGCCAATGGTAAAGAAACATGACAATGACACCCAAAATATTTGGGGGCCAAAAGTCCTCCAGCCCCGCCATGCCTGACAATGTTTTTGAGAGCAAGCTAAGTGAATATGTTTAAAATACCACATCTAGGGGTTCCTGGGGGGCAGCATCCAATTCTCTGAACTTTGGGGGCAAAATCTGAGACCAATGGGCTGACCTGTGTGATATCTTGGAGCGAGACTTGGTTATCGGTGGGGCAGACAAAGGTTAGGCTACCTGATCGTGGAAACTTGTAGAAGGAAATCTATGTAAATCTACCCAGAATCCAGGTTAAAACTCAACTAATTAGGTAATACGGCAACCCAGAGTTGCTGGGGACCAATTTTTGGCATCTGGACAGGTGATAAAATATGCCTAAAATTTTCAAGAATTTATGCCATTCTCACCAGACTTCCTTCTGGCATGTCCTTACTACAAAGCACGTGACATGCAAAGAATTTTGCCAGGCCCAACACTGCTGCTGTGTCTTGTGGAAGGATGACTAGCTTCCCCAGTTATTCTCCCCCAGGCCCTCTGCTGCTGCTTATATGGAAAGTTTTTCTCCCCCAGGCCCTCTGCTGCTGCTTATGTAGCATATCTATCAGGAATAACCATAAATTCTAATGCTGGTATTACACCCCCGACTTGTTCGGAATGCCATAATGGTCCCAAGTGCATGCAGATACTGCCTCCATTTCCAGTACCACCCATTTGCTCCTGACTGTTTGGTATGCTGACGTTGCACAATCACAACACACAAATACCTCTGACCTGAGCCAGTGAGATCTCACATCAACTTGGAATGGGATGGGTGCCAGGTCTTTAGATGCCGCTCACACAGAAAAATCAAACTTTCTTTTCCTTAAGTGCTACATGCCCTCACATTAGCTACCCATTCTGGAGCTGTATGGTAACAAAGCAGTTACCTGAGACTTCAGCTGGCATCTTGAAACATGGGTACCCTGGTTGCCATCTAGCCACCAGCAAGAATTGACAAGGCTATGCAAAGTTCGTATGGGAGTGGCCTGCTTCTTGTGGGAAAGCAAGGAAATGAGTGGCTGGTTCGCGCAGAAAGGAACAGATATGTAAATATGCAAAATAGACTCTCCGCTCCCATCTTGGCAACTTGGCTCCAGCCAGCATGTGAACCAAACTGGGACCTTATATACTGGGGTAAAAATATTTTAAATATTAAAGAAGGCCAGCGTTTGTCCATAGACAGGTTCCGTGGTCACATGGCCAGCACGACTAGACACGGAACGCCGTTACCTTCCCACTGAGGTGGTACCTATTTCTCTACTTGCATTTTTACATGCTTTCAAACTGCTAGGTTGGCAGGAACTGGGACAAGCGACGGGAGCTCCCTCCGTCGTGTGGATTCGATCTTGCGACTGCTGGTCTTCTGACCTTGCAGCACAGAGGCTTCTGCAGTTTAACCTGCAGCTGGCATAGATGGCTTTAATCTTTGCATAATTACATTATATTTTTGTTACCTTATCATTCACATTACCACACTGCATTATTGTTACCCCTCTTTCTCATACTGAGTGGGGGTGGAGGCTCATTCTGGTACCAGATCAAAAAAAAAGAAGAAGAAGAAAAGAGAAAAAAAAAAACAAAACCCAAATATGAGGTGTGGTTACTAAAGCAGAGCAAAACCCATTGTGTGTTCTTGGTATCTTTAATCAAAGCAAAGCACACTGAAAAAAAAGATGATTGCATTGTGCTCAAAATAAAATAAGACTGACTGGTAACAAAGTCAAGTGATAATTTCTTTTCCAGTTTGAATGTCTTTATGTAGAAAGAAGTGATGTTAATATCATCACCAGCTCTCTACAAAAATCTAAGAACAAAAATGTGGTCTCTGTTTCTGTTACATTCAGCACCTGTGTAACATCTCAAACTATACATCAGTCTGAAATGCACTTGGCACCTCCTGCTCTCACACATACCTAGCTTTCTATTGGCTGATGAGTCAATCAGAGGAGGGGCAGGCCTCTAACTGCCTCCTCCCCCCAACATAGTATAAGAAACAGCGGCAAGCAGGCAGGCACTGCAAAGAAAGCTCAGTAGCTTTTATGGCTTGAAATGATGTTTTAACTAAGGAAGCAGCGATTTGGAGTATTTTGATTCTTGTGTTTTTGCTCTCACAAAGAATAAGAATGAAATTACTCCTTGAAACTCCAGGCTACAGGTGAGGGAAATGGTACTCAGCTGTATTATCCCTGAGAGTATAAGTGGGTGCAGAAGTGGATAAACATGGCATGATTTGCAGAGCACTGCAAATTTCTCTTGCCCATCGGAGTCTGGTTTTCAGCTATTTCCCACTTTGTCACCACTTGGAACAGCAGCCTACAAATTTGTTCAACTCCCTCACCTGTGAAAACCCCAAGGAAGCAATCAAAGAGGAAGAAATTAAGACTAGTGGATTTAACTCACAAAGAGGAAGTCGGCAAAGCACCCTCTTCTCTTGGACCTGTGCTTTGCAAGATGAACTTGACATACCACTATGGTGTTCACCAGCCTCCGGACTTGTGGAATCACACCTACAGCCGTGGCGGTGTCAAGAACCAGTCAGTTGCCAAGGGTTACTCTTCAGAAGGGTGCTACAAGCAGCTTTTTGTCTCCCCGGAAGTGTTTGTCACTCTCGGCTTTGTCAGCCTGCTAGAGAATGTCCTGGTGATCGTAGCCATCGCCAAGAACAAGAATCTGCATTCGCCAATGTATTTTTTCATTTGCAGTTTAGCTGTGGCAGACTTGCTGGTGAGCGTCTCAAACGGCTCAGAAACAATTGTGATCACCCTCTTGAACAACACAGAGGCAGATGCGCATAGTTTCACTGTGAGCATTGACAATATCATTGACTCTGTGATCTGCAGTTCCTTGCTTGCCTCTATTTGCAGCCTGCTTTCCATCGCTGTGGACAGATACTTTACTATCTTCTACGCTCTCCAGTATCACAACATCATGACGGTGAGGCGTGTAGGTATCATCATCACCTGCATCTGGGCTGCTTGCACAGTTTCTGGGATTCTGTTCATTATTTATTCCGACAGCAGTGTTGTTATCATTTGCCTCATCAGCATGTTCTTCACCATGCTAGTCCTCATGGCTTCTCTCTATGTCCACATGTTCATGCTGGCCCGGCTGCATATTAAAAAGATTGCCGTTCTCCCAGGCACTGGCCCAGTTCGTCAGGGTGCCAACATGAAAGGGGCAATCACTTTGACCATTTTGATTGGAGTCTTCGTGGTGTGCTGGGCCCCACTCTTCCTCCACTTGCTTTTCTACATCTCATGCCCTCAGAATCCATATTGCATCTGTTTCATGTCCCATTTTCACTTGTACCTCATCCTCATCATGTGCAATTCTATAATTGATCCACTGATCTATGCATTACGGAGTCAAGAGCTGAGGAAAACCTTTAAAGAGATTATGTGCTGCAGCAGTCTGAGAGAGCTGTGTGATTTCTCTGCGAAATACTGAATGGATGCAGACAAACTATTGCCCATACGCACTGGCCACAGAGCTGTCCCCTCCAGCACCGCTAAGACTATGGACGACATCAGAAGGAACTAACATCTTTGCACTGTATTTGTTAATTGTGTTTTTCCTCTTTCATGTTTGTCAACTTGCAAGGGTGATTATTTAACTGTTAAAGTGTGGCTGTTTGTTCTGGTTAGAAATGTCCCAACAGACTGTTATTAGAAGAAAATGACTACATATTTTTTAATATTGTGTGTTGCCAATACAATAAAGCAGACGATTAGAAAGGAACATGCATCCTTGATAAACAATGCATGCCTTGCTCTCTTAAGCAATTCATGTTCAAGAATAGGAGCAGCTTTTTTTGGCCTAGTTCAGTATAAAACAAACCCGACCCCCTCCAGTGTTTTGATTGCCTGTTATGGATCGGAAGCTGAGATCCATAACAGGCAACCAAAACATTGGAGGGATTTGGCTTGTTTCACACTGAACGCAGGGAGCTCTGGGGCTAAGGGTTATCTTTTGATCAATAGGAACAACGCTGTCATCTAAGACGCTTCTCAGGAATCACATTGCGTCCCTGAGCTTAAATGTAATCCTCAATGTACCTGGTGTGTGGCTGTTATGTGTTGTCAGATCAGAACAGATTTAAAGGAACCTGGGGAAGGAAATTGATTTTTCCAGCTATTTATTGTTGTGAACTTTCCTTGTAGTAATTTTTAAAAATGTTATGAAATGGCTTGGTCTTGAAAGAGTAATTAAGAACCAATAGGTTTACAAAACACCTGCTCCTGGTGGAGATGAAAGCTACTAAAATGGGCTTGCTGATATGGATCTGCATAACTGAGTGCCTTTTGGATTCCCCTTACAGAGTTGGCTATGAGGACTGCCATCATGAATGCCTGCTGTTCAAATTTTATTGTCGCATCTTCAGTTTTTAAAGGATATATTTTACACAGCTTGCTCTAAAACCAACAGCCCCTTATTGAGTAAAAATTAGAACTAACATAGCTCCATTGGGGACAGTTATTGCCACTGAATTTGTCTAGGAAGTAAGATTGAAAAGTGCGCTTGAAACCATTACAATTTTTCTTTAAAAACTGGAGATGTTCATTTTTTATTGTGACAGAAAGTCATTGCATATCTATGTTTAATTACTGAATTTATGTTAACATCCTTCTATAAAGGGTTTAAGTATGTAAAATACAGAGATGACTGTAGCAGTCATACAAGCTAATCTGTTTTTGCTACAACCTAGACATTCAGCAGCAAAACTGGGCGAAGTTCAGAGAAGTTACTTCATAGCAGTACCACTCGCAAAATCCCATAACCATCCTGGCTACTCTCTACCCTCAATAATGTTTACTGCATCTGATTCTATATTAAGAGACCTAAACATCTGCTGAACATCTTGTTCCTTTCTTACGCAAGTCAGTCTAAAAAGATATGGTTTTGCACAATGAAAGGGTTCGTTGCATTGTAGCATCAAATCCCAAGAACATTGGGTTCAGTCACTGAGATGTTCGTACAGGTCAGGCCCCACAAGAATGAAGGGCTTGTTCTAAGGCCAACAGACCATGTACAGGAACATTCCTCGGTAGATTATGCAAATTATTTGTCCATATATAGCAGAGGTGGGCAAAGTGTGGTCCTGCTAACTGAAGACAACCTCCAAGAGTGTCTTGGTGGCCCCTACATATAGGCATCCTTCAGTCTCGAGAGACTATGGTAACGTGCTCTGTATTGAGGAGTGTCCTCTCCAGAGCATGAAGCCTGGTTAAAGTAATATGGAGGATAGGCTGTTACCCAAGCAGCAGATCCCTCCTCTCCACGTTGCTGAAATGGTCCCATGGAAAGGCAAGAGCCAATACAACTGGTTCCAGCAATGTCACAGGAGTTGGCAGAATGACACAAACTGCCTTTGGGACTCATGGAAAAGGCTTCTAGGTTAACGCCTGAAGCCTTTTCCACGAGTAGATATAGTCACAAGGCAGTGGAGGTTTGTAATCAGTGTTTTCCTTCTCCTACCCGGTGGCCCCTATGTCATTGTGAAACACTCCCCTCTGGGCAGGGGGGGAAAATAACCAAAGAAAAAGTGGTTTCATTCTATGCCCCTATGTCACTGTGAAACACTCCCCTCTGGGCAGGGGGAAAAAAGTAACCAAAGAAAAAGTGGTTTCATTCTATGATGTTTCCAGAAGCTTTATTTCCCCTCCCACACTGGGATATTACATGGCTCCCCAAAAGTCCTTAAAGTGTCCCAACACCAACACCCCCCAAATAAATATGGGAATTGAACATTGCATTCTGGGCTTTGTGAAGCAAACAATCGGTACTGAGAGACAAAATCCCTTAAAGTGTCCCAACACCAACACCCCCAAATAAATATGGGAATTGAACATGGCATTCTGGGCTTTGTAAAGCAAACAATCGGTACTGAGAGACAAAATTTGCCTCCCTCCCAGGCCCATCAAAATTACTCATCCCTGGTTTATAGCATATTGATCCAACATTTCTGGCTTTAACTGGGTAGCTAAAAGATGGCCATTTTTTTTAAAAAAAGGACATTTAATTAAAAACAGCTCGAAAATATTCTACTGAAACAATGATAAAATGAAGATGGCCTTTAAAAAAAAAAAGCACATTTAATTAAAAACAGCTCAAAAATATTCTACTGAAACAATGATAAAATGCATGAATAAAAGTAGTAGCAGCAACAACAAAACAAGGATATCCCCAAATCTCTCCAGGAAGATGATTTTCTTGCAAACTAGAAATACCCTGCAAGTCAAAAAAAGGTCTTTTTCTGATTGCTAAAAGCAAGATTTAAAAAAAAAAAGCACATTTAATTAAAAACAGCTCAAAAATATTCTACTGAAACAATGATAAAATGCATGAATAAAAGTAGTAGCAGCAACAACAAAACAAGGATATCCCCAAATCTCTCCAGGAAGATGATTTTCTTGCAAACTAGAAATACCCTGCAAGTCAAAAAAAGGTCTTTTTCTGATTGCTAAAAGCAAGAATAGACCTAATCAGAGATACAGGGTGTTTTCTATGGTGCCCCTTCCTCTCCAGAATAAGCTCCATGGTGAAATGTTTCGTCTCCTTTTTCATTGACCTTCAGAAGGCCCCTGAAGACCTTTCCATTCCTATTGGTTCTTGGATTATTCTCAGTGATGAAATTTATTGCCTGTTATTGATACTTCAATGTTTTATCTGCTGCTAAGAATTTTAGATTATTGTCATATTTGATTTATATATGTGCTTGAACATTTCAATATATGTGCTTGAACATTTTCAGTGTTTTTGTGTAGTCCTATATTGTTTTACTGGTTACTGTAAATCACATTGAAAAGCTATTTTATTCTGAAGGTGGTTTAAATTAAAATGAAAATAAATAAAATTAGATGACGAAGGTCTTGCAGCCAATGCAGTAATTATCTGGGACTGCTTGTCAGATTTACAGATGGGACAAAACTGGGCAGAATAGCTAATACCCTAGAACAGAGGTCCCAAATCCCCAGTCCATGACCCAGCAGTGGTCCGCGGCCTATCTAGGACTGGGGCGTGGACACAGATCTCCTACCCCCTGCAAGTGCCCCCCGTGAGTGCTGTTGTGTGCATTTGTGTGAGTGCGTTCAGTCACTGCCAGCATGCTGTGTGAATGCATGTGAGCGCCCCCCATGAGCGCGACATGTGCATGTGTGCAAGCGAGCTCTGCCCCGCCTGCAGTTGGGCCCCGCCTGTGGGTGGGCCACATCTCCCAACCAGTCTGCAGTTGGGAAAAGGTTCCCAGTCCATGACCCAGCAGTGGTCTGTGGCCTATCTAGGACTGGGGCGTGGACAAAGATCTCCTACCCCCTGCAAGTGCCCCCCATGAGCACCGCCATGTGCATGTGCACGAGTACATTGCACCTCAGAAAAAGAAACCAATTCCCAAGTTACAAGATAGGGGATACCTGGCTCAGCAAAACTATGAGCGAGAAGGATCTTGAAATTGTCGTAGATCACAAGCTAAATATGAGCCAACACTGTGATGTGGCTACAAAAAAGGCAAATGCTATTTTAGGATGCATTAATAGAAGTGTATTTTCTAAATCCCACAAGGTGTTAGTCCCCCTCTATTCAGCATTGGTTAGGCCTCACCTTGAGTACTGTGTCCAGTACCACACTTCAAGAAGGATGTTAACAAATTGGAACAAGTTCAGAGGAAGGTGACAAGAATGATCAGGGGGCTGGAAAACAAGCCTTATGAGGAAAGGTTGAAAGAACTGGGCATGTTTAGCCTTGAGAAAAGAAGACTGAGAGGTGGTGATATGATAGCACTTTTCAAATATTTGAAAGGCTGCCATACAAAGGAAGGGCAGAATCTGTTCGCAATTATCCCTGAGTGCAGGACAAACAATGGGCTCAAGTTAAAAGAAGCCAGATTTCAGTTGAATATCAGGAAAAACTTCCTAATTGTTAGAGTAGTATGACAGTGGAACCAGTTACCTCAGGAGTTGGTGAGTGCTCCAACACTGGAGACATTCAAGAAAAATTTAGATAATCACCTGGCATTTATGCTTCGAGTGTATTCCTGCATTGAACAGGGGTTGGACTTGATGGCCTTGTACGCCCCTTCCAACTTCACTTTTCTATGATTCTATGATCACATTTGTTATTATTAATTGTTTTTGCTACAAAACCGGGCTCTTTCTTCTATGTTAAAGGCCAGGGCAGATGAATTTGCATTATCTCATTACAACTAGAAAATGATGTGACATCATCTATGAATGTCTCCTCAGAAAATGTCTCAGTTGTGGGCTATAACTTATCATTGAGATATGTGAATTTCTGAATCCCTCCCCCAGTTCTCCCAAATGTCTGCCTGTTTTGACACTTAAATATTGACTTTTTCCTCATTTAAGAATTTTGAGATATCAACACTGAGTGCATATTAATTTTTACCAAGCAATATTTGATTATGCTATAATATGAGCATAATCATGTGGTCC